AAGATGGCAACACTACCCAAAGCAATCTACAAATTCAGTGCAATCCCTATCAAAATTCCAGCAACCTTTTTTTCTGAAAGGAAGTGGAAAAGCTGATTCTCAAATTCACATGGAAATATATGGAGTCCCAGATAGTTAAAACAATATTTTAAATAGAACAAAGTTGGACAATTCACACTTCTCGATTTTAAAGCTTACTACAAAGCTATTTGTATTAGCATTCAACAGAGAAACAGAACTAATAGGAGACACATATAAGAGATTTATTATAAGGTGTTGGCTCATGCAGTTATGGAGGCCGAGAAGTCCCATGAACAGCTGCCTGCAAGCTGGAGACCCAGGAAAGCTGGTGGTGTTACTGGAAGACCTTAGAACCAGAGGGCCAATGATACAAATTCCAGTGCAGGTCCAGAGGCCTGAGAACCAGGAGCGTGGGGGGCAAGAGAAGATGGATGTCCCAGATCAGGCACACGGGGGGAGGGAGGGCAAGTCCACTTTCCTCTGCCTTTTTGCTCTTTTCAGCCCTTGGAGGGTTGGACAGTACCCACACTGTGGGCCATCTGCTTTACTCAGTCCACCAATTCAAACACTAGTCTCTTCCAGAAACAATTTCCCAGACACACCAGAAATAATGTTTAATCAGATATCTGGGCATCCATGGCCTACTCAAATTGGCTAAGATTGACTATCACACCAGTCAAAACAGTGTGCTGCTGGCATTAAAATAGACATCTTGATCAGTGGAGTAAAATTGAGAGACTAGAAATAAGCCTATACATCTATAGTCAATTGATTTTCAACAAGAATGCCAAAACTATTCAATGGGGGAAGAATAATCTCGTCAACAAATGATGCCAGGACAACTTGATATCCACATGCAAAAGAATGAAACTTCACACCACATATAAAAATGAACACAAAATGGATCAACAACCGAAATATGAGAACTAAAACTCTAAAGCTCTTAGAAGAAAACATCACATAAATCTTCATGACCTTGAATTTAGCAATGGGCTCTAAGATATGACACAAAAAGCAACAAAAGAAAAATAAACTGGACTTCATCAAAACGAAAAGATTTTGTGCATTAAATGGCATTATTGACAAAATGAAGACAACCAATGGTACAGGAGAAAATATTTTCAAAACACATATCTGAGAAGACTCTAGTACCCATAATATATAAAGAGGTGTTATAACTCAACAATAAAAAGACAACCCAATTTTTTAAATGGGTAAAAGAGCCCTAGCCAGTTTGGCTCAATGATTAGAGCATCAGCCAGCAGACTGAAAGGTCCTGGGTTCAATTCCGGCCAAAGACACGTATCTCAGCTACAGGCTCGATCCACGGCAACCGATCAATGTGTCTCTCTCACACCGATGTTTCGCTCTCTTGCTCTCTCTCCCTTCCACTCTCTGAAAAAGCAGTGGAAAAATATCCTCGGGTGAGGAAAAAAATAAATAAATGAATAAATAGACAAATAAAATGGGTAAAGGATTTCAATAGACATACAAAGAAGAATTACAGATAACCAACAAGTACATGAAAAGATGTTTAACACCATTAGTCATTAAGGAAATGCAAATCAAAACCACAATGAGATATTGCTTTATAGCTACTACAATGAATATATATATATACACATACACATATGTATATATATGCATATGTGTGTGTGTGTGCAGGTGTGAGTGTAACAAGTGTTGTTGAGGATGTGGGGAAATTGAAATCCTCATTGTTAGTGAAAATGTAAAATGGTGCAGCTGCTATGGAAAACAGTTGGACAGTTCCTCCAAAAGTTAAACAAAAAGTAAAAACAACTTAAACATACATTAACAGATGAATGGATAAATAAAATGTTGAATATACATACAATAGACTATTACTCATCTATAAAAAGGAACCAAGTACTGATACATGCTACAACATGGATGAACCTCAAAAATATTATACTAAGTGAAAGAGCAACTCTAAAAAAGCTTAAATAACGGTTTCACTTAAAGACAGAGGGGATACATACTTTCAGAGAGACTACATACTTTTCATAAATGAACCAACTTACAAAGTGTACTCCTTTTATTTAAGGCTGATGACTTTTAAAAATAATTTCATACAAAAACCAAACAGTTTTGTGAAAATAATTTTTTAAGTGGGACATATATTGAAAGAAAGAGAGAATCCAGGCACAAAAGGCCACGTATTGTATGATTCCTTATATATGAAATGTCCAGAATACGTAAATCCATAGAAACAAAATGAAGATTAGTGGTGACCAAGATTTGGGGAGAAGATTAGGGGGCAATACAGGGTGACTGCTCAATGGGTACAAGGATTTCTTTTGGGGAGATGAAATGTTTGGAACTAGATAGAGGTTGTGGTTGCATGACACTGTGAATGTACGAAATATTACTGGATTGTACACTTTAAAATGGTTAATTTTGTACAGATGATATATTATAGAATTGTATACCCAAAACTGATATAATTTTATTAACCAATGTCACCCCAATAAATTCAACAAAAAATTTAAAAAATAAATAAAATAGTTAATTTTGTGTTATGTGAATATCATTTAAATTAAAAAGAAAAAGCTCACTCGTGTGTGGTCTCCCAGGGCTGTCTGCCCTGTGTGTGCTCGGGCCTCAGCTCCCGGGTACAAGGCAAATGTCGAGGGAAACTCTGGCCTCCGACTGGGCTGCAGGAGCAGCCCCAACTCAGGACGTAATGCGCCTTCCCCTTTAGTGTCCTTGAACTCTGCACCTAGCTCCGCAGTGCCCGTCACCAGCGTAGACAAAGGAGCCGGGGCAGGGCAGGGTGGAAAGGATATTGGCTTTGGACGATGAAGCTGACAGTGTCCCTGCCACACACACACAGCCTTGCTTTAGACCTCCAGTGACACACCACCCCTCTTAGATAAAACTCCAAGCTGGTCTAGATCCTGGTTGATACTGTGGCCTCCCACAGCCCTCCCCTGCTCCCTCACCCCTGCAGGCCCTCACACCCCCAGTAATCCTCCTTCGAAGGCCCTCCCCCGGCTCCCCAACCCCCTTCCTCTGTAACCCCCATTTGAACAGGAAGACCACCCTGACAAGCATCCCTGACAGGGCTGGATGTCACACACGGGCAGACAGAGCTGCCCAGCATGCCCAGAGCAGGAGAGCAGGGCACACCCCACCCCCACCCCACCCCCCAC